TCTTTCCCGCCCAGCACCATCCCTGCATCAGTCCTGTGTTCACTGCAGTACATTACATCGTTAGACGTGTTATATTCTAGTCACTTATACTCTTCTTTCCATTCGCTTGTAAATTTTCATTGCCGTTTCATTTTTCCATAGTCTGTCTTTTGTGTTTCTGGTTCTTCTGTAGCCGACAACATAAATGCAGCTAGCCAGCGACAACTACTGTTTGCCTTACTATTGAACTAAAAGGCGCAAATGAATTGGGACATCTGTGGAACATTACCGTTGTGTTGGCAAAGTGCAGTGGGTCTCCCCCCCAATTTAACCTTTATTTAAACAGATAATCTCACTGAGACATGAGGTCTCATTCTCAATGGAGATCTGATAAAACCTGGTGGCCACAGCAAGCCACCTACTGTGGTGGCCACACAGTAATGTTCTCTGGCCATGGTTAATGTTGAACCCTGCATTTTAACATATTAATGCCTTCACGTGCAGGGTTTTACCTTCTATTTTGAACAGAATTCATTGGTATTTTTAACCAGACAGGTGTGACTTGACAAACTAATCAACCCAACAGCAGCTTTGCACTTATATTACACTACTGCATTAATTACTTCAGTTTTCTAAGAAGTCCATAATAACAACCTGTTCTAGGAGAGCAGGTTAATTTCTCTCACCTCCTACAGCAGACAGCAGTTGCTGCAGCAGATCTATGTAGACATGAATAGGATTTGCCTCAGAACCCTTTGATACTGAAGGCTGAGGCTCAGAGGCCAGCAGTGTGTGCACATAGCGGCCGATGGCTGGTGCATCATCCTGCATGTCTGCTAGGCGTGTAGACATTGGCGTGGCACCGGCACTGTGGGCTAAACACATCCTCAGGTAGATCACAATCTGGCAAAACAGGGAAATTAGGCAGAAAAATCAACTTACTCCTCCCCAGATACACACACTTTGCAAAGTCATGAATGTTACAGGATGACCACCTATTTACCTCCGCGAATGCAGATGGGTTAAAAGGAATGGTGGAGGTTCCAACAATGTACTTAGCTGGAGTCTTGATCCTCTGAGACGCCTATTAATGACAATTTCAAAACCAATATGAGATATTTTTTTAGCAAAAATGGCCACCTTGTAACTTGGGCGCACTACATATAAGATGATTAAAAAATACGCAGATGGCCTCACTTTCTCCTGGACGTATGCCACCATATCAGGAAAGGAGGGCATTGGCTTTGGTCCTTCTTTCTCTGAGCTCTTAGTAGGAAAAGCCCTCAACACCCTCTGGGCCTCCCCAGACACCTCTTCTCTCCTAAAACACACAAAGCCTGCTTATTTTATCTCCTTTCACCATTCAGACTAGTTAACATTTAACACATTGATCTCAGTTGTATCCTATTGTGTGATCTGGTCTATATATTTTTTATTTATTTATTTATTTTTACATCAAAGATTTCTGGGTTTTGGGACTTACGAGTCTCCAGCAGCCAATAGCAGTAGATATCTTGATGGCACGTGATCGGGAGCAAACACCGTGCTAGCAAACTTCATGGCCACCTGACGAACTTGTACCTCAGGCTGGCGAAAAGAAAAATCAAAAGTGTTTGATTTGCCTGATGCTTAGGCAACGAAACTGTCAAAATTAACTGGGTTGTGTGTGTGTGTATGCACATCAAATATCTACTTTGGCTGTATGCACTCACCTTTCCAATGTACGCAGCCACCAGGTAGCATAGGCTCCAACCATCATTGACAAAGCTTCTTGAATGGCAAGACGAACATCAGGCACCTCCTAAAGAAGATAACAGAATTATTGAAATTTAAACACCAGGTACATCACTGTGCTCTCCTAAAAACAGAGGCAAAGAAAATGATTATATAATAAAATGTTCACTGCTGATTTTCCTGTATTGTTTTTGTTGTGTGGACTTTCCTTTCAGTACATTTAATACCGGATTCTTGAGAGTTCATTCATCTACCTTGCACATGGACTCAAAAAACTGCTGCACAAGTGCGATATCCTTTGTGAACAGCTGTGGCATGCGGCTAAAAGAGAGGATATAAAGAGTAGAGTATTTTTTAATTTCCAAAATACTGCACCAAGGTGGTAACGTTGATGAAAAAATATTTCATTTTACCTTGACAGTTTTCCAACCGCAGAGTATGCAACACATAGTAACTTGGGATCCTAAAAGGACAAATGTGGTTTAGTAGGTATAAATCTAACTCATCTGTATGCACTTGAAGATTAAATGCATGTTGTTACTGGTATTTGTTTTACCTCCTTATATTCATTGATGAGTTTGGTAAGACCATTAAGTAGCATTAGCCCTAATGGCTTATTAGTGTCAGGGCATCTGAAAAACAGGAAAATTTGAACGTTTATTTTTCAAAATGCAAACATATTGTGGTCAGTTCAAGGCAGATACTGTCTTAGTTATATTTAATACAGCCTCGAACTGGAAGTCTGTGGGGTCAAACTCCCATGCCTACAGATTTGATATGGAGTAGACTGTAATACAACATGGCTATGTTGTCATTACAACATGAAGTATTGCTTACTGATTTATCAATATGTCGCTCTTAACTAGTTTGCCAGTCTATGTTTGTATTCGTCACTGTTGTCAAATATACTGTTTACACTGTGCTGTGGAAGATTAATAAACAGTGTTCAAAATGCTAATACGGTTACTTTGACATGGAAAGAAAGGTATTCTGGATGTTATTGAGACAGAGGAAAAATAAAACTCTTCTTACACCATGCAGATGTGATGGACAAATTGCAACGTGAGAAACAGCAGTTTATTGTTGGTGTTGGCTCCAAACAGACCATCATACACAACCTAGAGAGTAAAAGTGAACTAATGACAATGACTGTACACTACACTGGAATATTTCATTTAATTTGAAATTCTGAAAATTGAGGATCAAAACTGTATCCAAAAGAATAGCCAAACATCATACCTGGATATTGGCTGGAAAACACTCTGCGGCTAGACGAGACCGGAGAAGATGTGGCAGGATCTTAAGTTTGACTCTTGTGCTTACCGGCTCGTGTTTCAGCTCTTGCTTCACATTGCCACCCTATTATACATACAAAATTGCATTACATACTTAATGTTTTAAAATAATAATAATAATAATCATCAAGTTCGGCTTGAAAATTAAGTGAGTTTGCAAACCTTTGTTTTAAGAGGAACATCCCCCAGATACACCTTGTACATCTTGTTAATAATTAGAGGGTTGTTCCAATCAATGATGCTGAAAGATAATAAAACAAATGCAAAGATATGAATAAAGTTTAGTAATTTCAGCATTTCTTTCTGAAGTGTACTGATCTATTTTATCAGCCTGATAAACACACAGCCTAAAAAAAAAACATTATTTGAATGCAAACAAACCTGTAGCACAACAGGTTTGCCTAAAAATTTGGTAATTTACTGTATAAACTGTATACTGGGCTAGAATAAAAAAACAACAGATAATGTAGGCCTACGCCTTTCTACCTACCTCTGTTTGCTCTTCAGCTCCAAATCAGCTGCAGTGGCCACGCTGTGTCTCGTGTCGCTGGACGCTACTACCAGATGAACAACTGTCTCCACTTCTGGGACTTGCTTTGCCTCTATGAATTTCACTATCCCCAGCTTACACTGTTGAAACCAAATACACAATGAAGGAGTCATTAGCCAATAATCAAGACAAACAGAACTTTGATCATCAAGCTCAACATACAGTCAAATTATTATGCAGCCCTCAAATACAGGGGATAAACTATTAGGAGCTATTGAACTTGCATCTGATGGACAACGTCTGGATTGAGCTTGAAATGTGATAGCTTCCTGTTGAGTAGATTATTTTTCACACTGGTCCTTGGCAACTTTGCAACCTTAACTAAAATTACTCAAACTAAAACTGAAACTAAAATAAAGTAACATGAAACAGAAACGACTCCATGAAATTAAAACTAAACTGAAACTAATGAAACCCTTGGTGGAACTAAAACTAAATGTAAATTCAGACTGAATCCAAAAATAATATCAAAATTAAAACTAATCTGAAAATGGAAAGCTATACGTTAAAAGAGGATTGTAAAATCCAAAACTTTCCCAAGTCCGAGTCAAGTCTGGAGTCATTTAGGTACAAGCTGTAAGTCAGTCAGACATCTATTTACGTATGACTTGAGTGGCCATCTCTGACACACAAAAGTACAGTGTAACCTGTCTGAACGGGCAAACATTTTACAACTATTCAACTGTACCTGCTCTAGTTGCTCAGCGCTCCACTGGGCCTCTCCAATCACTCTCTTGGCAGCATAAACACTCATCCCTGGAGGAGGCTGGGGGAGACCCTGGCCACCCACAGCCACTGTTCCATCTGCAGAACTCCCCTGGGAGGAGGAGGGAGCAGGGCGAGTCGGGGATTCATTAAGCACAAACCTAGAGGACCCAATAAAGAAAACAAGTCAATATTCTTGTTCAAAAGATAAAACACCTCTAACCAAATAGCTAATATACGTAGTCAAACATTACAAAAACTCACCCATAAGGCATCAGTAAAACATCTAACATGAACTCCAGCAGCAATGTCACTGTCTTTGGCCGCTCAGTTAGGTTAAATAGAGAAGCACTCTTGGAGGTATCTGCAGGATACTTCATATGGTAAAGAGTAGGGATCAGCAGATGCATTAGGCTAAGAGAAGAAGGAGACGACAGAGAGGAAATGGAAAAACAATCCAGTAAAAAAAAAAAATTGTAAAAGAGTACTGAGGCTGTATGTGTGTTTAGCATTATGCATGTGTCAATCAAGCTAAAAGTCAAGAGAATTTGAAAAACATACATCTTTTAATCCACTACTGGGTAAATAGTAAATATCCCTGTGTGTCCTGAAGTGTGGGAGTGGGTGTGTCCCTCACCTGTCCTGCTGTGGTTGTGGCTTGCCTTCCATGGCAGTGAGGAGGGTGGGGGCCAACTCACACTGTTTTCCCACCTCCAGACGTGGGTATCCCATTTTAATGTAGATGATAGTAAAATTCTGTAAAAGCACACACTTAACAATCATCACTATTATTTTAAATAACAGACCTCTTCTTAATCAAGTTATAGAAAGAGTTAAATTTCACAGATTTGGTCACATGACCACATAAAGTCCACTTTAAATTAAAAATCACTAAGGATTTACAATGTTATTAGGAGGTATTAAAATCATAAGTCACCAAAACACAGATCCAGCCCAGCAGCTGTCTTATTAAGTAACTAGCTGTCAGTTAACTAATATTCAGGTGTGATGCCTCCCCAGTGTTTCAACTGAATATTGAAAAGTGCAGTGAAATTGACTTTTTTTTTTTTTTGCACCATACTCTCAATAGCAGGTATCTAATATTTTTATCAATTATGAAATGACACACTGGTGTTACCATATCGAGAACAGGAAGCAAACAAAATGCTGATGTCATGATCAATTTATATCGCACATCCTCCTCTGTAAGATAAGACTAACCGTAACGAAAGAGGCAGCTGCAGGGTCCTGGTACTGCACCAACAAAGTTTCTACTGGTAGCTGAATCTTAGGTCGGCTTTTTATCCTCTTGTTCAGGTGGACCAACAACTCCATTACCTAAGAGAGGATACAGAGAAAGCCATTCGGTGATATACTTACATGAAAGATGCATAAATCAACACTTAATGTAAACAGAGAAAGCTCTGATATCTTTATAATCATCTTTGCATACAAGCAATGAAAGTCCCTATCAGTACAATACAAAGAATGTTTTAAAAGGTTATAAAATTGTAATACATTGTTGTTAAAGAGAAAGGTCTGATCCCATATGACTTCAATTGATTCACATTTTTAAGAGGTGTGGCTATAGAGCACAGACTGAAAAGACACTGTAATCTCTTTAGGCACAGAGATAGACACCACCCTTCTTACTTTCTTTCGCACACCCTCCTGAACACTGGAGAGTTTGAGGAGCACAGGGGGAAGGAACTTGGAGATAATATCTTGTAGCTGTTCATCTGTTTCTGCATGGCCCAGGCGAAGGAACACACGTTCCAATTGATCTGTCAAAAAAACACATTTAACACCGTGATCAACTATTATGTCTCATTTTCTAGGCAGTTTTAGGCATACTCTAAGGACAGAGTACACATATGCTTAGTTTAAAAACGGAAAAAGCACTTCCTTAATTAATCAGAAAGCAGCTTTCCATTCAAATACGAGAGCAACCCACTGGGTAAATGCAACAACATGCAAAACCAGTCTGTGCGATCATCAGCTTCATACACACGGAGGATCTATACTTTAAACAGTGAACTATAAACGGACAGTTCGTCGTGCATGTTGCTGCAGTTTGACTGACATGCTGCTGTGTTGGTGCAACCATAACCCAGCCCTATCGTCTCTCTCCTGGTTTGGCTTACCAACCAGCTAGCTACAGCAACTGAGAGACTATCCACGCATTCGTTTCTATACCATGCCCCTGGCTTTTCACTCCCAGTGACACCCTGCGCAATCAATCCCAATAGCCCTAAAGTCTTCACATTTTAAATATACACCATGAAAGTTTGATTCATGAAAACATATTAAGAGCCTAGATGATAGTTTCGTTCTGAGCATGACTGGGCAAACGGCCTTCTGACGATAGCATTCTAGCTAGCAACATAGTTGAGTAGCTAGCTATCTTTACTGCCCCAGATTTTTACTGAAGAAAGACTTATCGTTACTTTAAAACACCTCAGGCGTTAGAATGAAGCTAGCCCGTTTTTAACATATTTTTACACAGCCACAAACATAACCATTTAGTACATACTGATCACTAATTACGCACACAAAACTTACTGAGCTCATCCTGAGCAGCCATGTTTGCAGTGGTTAAGTCATTAGCGACCCTGCCGGTTTCTAACGTCACTGCACTCACAGAGAAATCACAGGTAGCCTACGTAGTGTAGCTACACGTAATCAGTTTTAATTCGTCTACTCTCCGTTAAATCCAAATCCGTTATGGAATGGGTACTTTTTGTCATTTTTGCTTAAATTTAAACACATATGTACATGACGAAATAAGACGTTTTATATAATAATAATAATTTAAACACTTAATTATTATTATTACTACCTGGAGACTATCCCAGATCACACTGGGCAAGAAGCGGGGTACACCCTGGACAGGTTGCCAATCTATCACAGGGCTGTGACTTAGAGACAGACAATCGCACAAACCCTTACGGATAATTTAGAGCCACCAATCAACCTAAGATGCATGTCTTTGGACAGTGGGAGGAAGCCGAAGTACCCGGAGAGAGACTATGCAGGTACAGGGAGAACATGCAAACTACGCAGAGAAAGGGCCCGGGTCAACCGAGGCTTGAATCCGGAACCTTTTTACCTTTACATTTCTCATATAAAGCAGTCATATGAGTTTGCTGCTGTGTTTGATCTGACGAGTCTTGATGTGAAACTGCATAAATCAATTAATAGCTATTGTTGATTTGTCAGGTATGCAGTCCGCTCCTACTTCACTGCTATACAGGTGACAGATTTAAGAATCTTCCCATCCGGCCCGCGAAAAGGCTTTTGACTTCATACTTCAGGAATGAATGTTCATATTGTACAGCAGAAGTATTGCAGACTGTCTGCAGTACGTGGGAACTAGGCCTATATGCTATGTACCGTAAACATGAATCCATTCAGCTTCTCTGACTGATAACAGTCACCATCAACCACACATTTATTCTGTTAACACAGTAAAACGTCATAGTGCAAATACCAACAAATAAAATCACAATCGCTGCAATTATACAAAAAAAAAATTGTATCTCTATAAAACTTGTTGTCGATCCGGCATCTAAACCAATCAGCTCTGAGATCAGGTGAGCGCCAGGTGTCTCCCATCATGCCCTGAGCTCTTGCAGTCGGTGAGGATTGTGCTGAATTGCTCAGCAGTCATAACGGAGCTAGTGTTGTGAAATTTCCAAACCACGCGTCTGCTTTGACGATTTTCACATGAAGACAGAAAAGGGAAATGAGCACATTAATCGCACAGTTCTACTTTCCTCATTCAGAAATTTGATACCAATATATAAAAACAAAGCTTATTTTGGGCGACAGAGGTTAGACTGGTGTGCGACAACTTATTTTGTCAGGTACGCATATGGTCAAATTACTTTTTTTTCTTCTTATTTGCCTTTTGAAAATTTTAGAATGAATACGTTTTGTCATTATCTGATTTCCCATTCCATAATGGATTTGGACTGAAGGGAGAGTACAGGGAGGACAGTGACACGGAGGCTGTGGCCTATGTGCAATTGGGCTGTAATCAACTGACAATTTGCCTATTTTAGTTACTGATTAAGCTGCCGACTTTTTCATTGACTTATCTTTGCAGTTCTAATATGAAGTGTTTTATAAAACCGTTCCATGGTGGAGGTGCAGTTGCACTTTCTACCAACACTTCATCTCTACCTTGCATTCCCGTTTACTGACACCCCGGTTGATTTGCAGATCTTACAGTGCCTGGATAGGTCTACCACTCCACGGTCTGCCATTTGTATCGGTCGTGCTTGTTGGCACGCAGACACGCAGTTGCCCGAAACACACCCCCTTTAAACGGCACGAAGCAGCTGTCATGTGAATCAGCTGGACGAACGAGGAAGGGGATACAAAAACAACAGCTTTGCTTGTTTCTAATTTAAGGTATTTCTACTGCAAAGATATGTGATGTACTACGAAAATTGCGCATGGTATCTTGGTTTCTATCATGTTATTAGCAAGCGGTGTGCATTTCGTGACTCCCGTGCAGAATTAGCCAAGCTATCTGCAGCTAACCGTTAGCATTGCTAGCCAGATAAGATGGCTCATGCTAAGTGGTCATCTAGCATTGTGTGCCTTGTCATTGTTCAACTTTTGCTAAACGTTTACGATACCGACAAGTAATGTAACTATACATTGTACAAATATCTGAGTAAATCATTTGCACCTCACTAAATCACATAGCGAGGTAGCTATGGGCCTCTCCGCAGCCACCTTGCGAGGGACATTTAAACCCCACTGACTCGTGCACTAAGTTGGCTAAAGTGGTAGCGAGGTTAGCTTTACAGTTAGGCTTTCTCTTTCCCGACTGATATCCCTAAATGTTGTGGGGTCATGTCCCATGAGCACATCAAGTTAAGTTAAGAGTACCCAATGAGTGTAGTGTGTAAATATAAGTTAGCTACATTAGTCAGCTGAGCTAGCAAGCTCCGCTGTTTGTTCAGCCATTACTTGGCATCATAATAAAACGTAGGCTAGTTCGCTAGTTAGCTGTTTTGGCAGACAACAAAGATCAACCTAGCTACAGTCGTACACGCTGTAAAAGCGAATCTATAATTTGTCTAAGGGTCTAGGTGTGTTTATTAGTAGTAGACAGAATACGCCCGACTAAGGTTAAGCACGTTTAATTATTGTTTGAATATCTGAACAAAGACTAAGATTGTCAATTCATTGTGTTCAAACACCGATCGATTTCTCCAAAAACTTCAGCCTGCAATTGACTGTAGCATAATCTTGTACGCTCTTATAACGTGGTTTGCAGCGAAGTAGCCGTATGCATAAATAAAAGGTTGGAAAAAGGAAAACAATGTCTTCACTCTGTACCATGTGATCCTTTGTCTGGAATCACAGTAAAGTCAGAGTTGGGAGTAGGATGGGTGGATGGGACAAAAATCTGAAAAGGGTTGCAGGCATCAGAAAGGATCAAATTCGACATTGAATCTCTACTTCCATCTAGTGGTGAACATTTCACCAACACACAACCCAGCTAGTGGTACAGATTCTGTAATGATTTGTCAAAAATGGACACTAAGCATAGTTGCTTTACCTATACATTAAGTAACATATGAAGTTGTAATCACATGATTTAATGCCTTAGTCATCGTATCTAAAGTGAAATTGCTGATTAAAAGTAGCTAGAAAATGCTGGAGATTCACTTTAGTGTGAAATGGTACAGGCAGAATGTTTTTAATGCATTTCTTATGAACAAGGATTTAATTCTGCCTTAAATGATCTCAACAAAGAAAAATTATTGGCAACGACCAGTTGACACCAATCTTCAACACTTAAACACTGTAGCAAAATCAAGTGAATAGAATAATAGGTAATATAGTAGAAATATGTTAAAATTAACAACCTTCATGAATTAACCACCATTGAATTTCACAAATAAAATGAGTTAAGTAAAATATAAGTTGACATTGGAGCACTTTTTATGTGTGTTTTTTTTATTTTTAATAATTCAGGTTGTGTCTGGTCAGGCGGCAGGATGGCGGGAGCAGAGGTGTATGCCCCTGCAAACCCCACCTGCAAGATTATGACCTTCAGGCCTACCATGGAAGAGTTCAGGGACTTCAACCAGTACCTGGTTTATATGGAGTCTCAGGGTGCACATCGTGCAGGCCTGGCTAAGGTAGGTAACATTTTCAGTCATAACTTGGATTAACTTTCAGGCACAGTAACAAAGGAAATTCTTGAATAGATATGAGAAATTTTAGAACCACGTGATGGACATCATTGCATCCATTAGGTTGGTGTGTCAAATGAGCCCACAGTTGGACAACGGTTGTAAAGGTGGTCTATATATAAACTTGGACTTAAAATCATGTTAAACCAAAGAAATTCAGACATATACTGTGACTAGCTGCCCTTTTGGAACAGTGGTTTAATTAATGCAAAGTTCTAGTTCTGAAGTGCTGATTAGGGTGATCTGTCTATACAAGGTATCTCTGTCCTGTTTTATTTTCAACAGCAAGCCTTCAGTCCTGTATTTGTTCCTCAGGTGATCCCCCCTAAAGGCTGGAAGCCTCGTCGTACCTATGATGACATAGATGATCTGATGATTGATGCTCCCATCCAGCAGATGGTGGCTGGCCAGTCAGGGCTGTTCACTCAGTATAACATCCAGAAGAAGCCTCTTAGTGTGCAGGAGTTCAGGCGACTAGCTAACAGTGACATGTGAGTAATTGGGAGGACATTTCAAAGTTGTGTTCTGGATCTGATTGATTATTCAGCGGAAGAGAAAATGCTCACAATATGGCATTAGTTACATCCGAAGGCTAATGTGGTGCTGCCAAAGTAATTTTATATATTTTTGTTCAGAGGGTAATGACTGGTGGTATATTACATAATTTACCTTTTGTCAAGTAAATTTTTTAGAACAAAAGCAGTTTAGACAATTATCTGGATGATAAAACAGACATTTTGGCAGCACTGATCAATATACTAAATGTTTGTCTGTGTGATGTCAGTTTGTCATTGTGAATAGTATCTTTCTAACATAGCTGGAACAAAATTAACAAAAAGTTAAGAAGAAAATAAATTACATCATCCATAGGGAGTTTAATTGCATGTTTTGCTGTTATATCAATGGCAACTGGCAGTAATGAAAAAAAAAATCTACCTGGTGACTTAAAAGTGCAAGAGTGTATCTTGTCTACTAAGGGTATAAAATGTAACTGATGTGTAGCTTTTACCACTGTGCCAGGTGTGATATGTCCAACATCCACAGTACAAAATGTAATTCCTTTCTCTTGCACAGGTACTGCACACCCCGCTACCTGAATTATGAAGATCTTGAGAGGAAATATTGGAAGAACCTGACTTTTGTCTCACCCATATATGGTGCTGATGTCAGTGGCAGCCTTTATGATGAGGTAGATGGCTTTTCTTTCTCTCTTGTTTTGTCTTTGTTTGTGTTCCTCTGTTTCCATACATATTGGTTCAACTTTGACCTTTGTTATTCAGCCTCCATATGATCAGTCTTGGTTAGTATAGCTTTAACTAATTCCTTTACAGGTTCAGCTTTCTTAAAGGTTTTGCCATTCAAAGAATTGGACTGTGCATGAATGTATTTCACCTGAATCATGCAGTTTGGCATGGATGGACTGAAAGCAACTCATAGACAACACCAATGCTGAAATAGTTTCATATATATGTATACAAACAAAAACCGCATTGGAATAATTTAAATAATCAAAGATTTTACACACGTACTTTGAATAGTGAAGTCTGGACGGAACATTTTCTTTTGTTGTCAAGTGTTTTATATTGTGTTGTATAGTCAGTGTAGTGACAACCTTTCTTTATCCTCAGCTTGGATAAAGTAGGCTTCTGAAGTCCAGTTTTCAACCCCAAGCAACACTTTTCAACAGCAGGATCTTAAAGGCATGGTTGATTTTTACATTTGTCACTTAAATATAAGTAGAGTGACTATATTTTCCTCAAGTGGCAGCTTGTGCAGTGCTCACTACTTCCCACTGTCGCTGTGTGTATGCTGGTAAATGAAAGTACAGATCCCCCCCCCTTCTTCAAATTTCACAGGTGTACAATGTTTGTTAGGTAATGTTCCTAGTATTTTAATGAAGAACAATGAGGGGAAGGTTTGTCAGCTGGCCAACCTGTATCATTATACAAAAGGGTGTTCTCTGCATGTCTTCCAACAGTATCCAGTTGAGTCAGGTGCTTCTCAGATCCAGGACTGCAAACATTTCAGAAGAGACATGATTAGAGCACACTGATTGATTTGCTGCTTTTAATGGTGCAAACAAATTAGACTGACATTTCAACACTATCATGTCTTCATCAAAGTCAAACACTGCTTTCTTTGACTCTGATGAAGACAGTAGTGTTGAAACATCAGTATAATTTGTTTGCACCATTAAAAGCAGCAAATCAATCAGCAGGCTCCAGTTGTCTCTTCTGAACGTTATTTATACAGTCATTACTGATTGGATGAAAAAGTTCCATAGTCGAGCGTACACCAGTCTAACCTCTCTTGCCCAGCTCTAATCCCTGTTCTAATTCCTTAGGATGTAGAGGAGTGGAACATTGGCCACCTGAACTCTATCCTGGATGTTATCGAGGAGGACTGTGGTGTATCCATCCAGGGGGTTAACACTCCATATCTATACTTTGGCATGTGGAAGACCACCTTCTCATGGCACACAGAGGATATGGACCTGTACAGCATCAACTACCTCCACTTTGGAGAGCCCAAGTCCTGGTTAGTGTGGGATAGGAGAATTAGGTATAGGGGATAAACACATAATGAAGCAGCAACTGTGCAACATAATATAAACCAGTAACTACAGCTTGAACAATTATCATAGTGTTGAATCAAACACTGCTATAACTGATATTACAACACTCAACCATATAGCACTTTGGTATTATCCTGATTATTCAACCTTTTTTAAATGTTTCCCTTATATAGTTAAAGTCAAATCTGTTAAAATAATTGGTTGTGCAGTAAAGATGTTACATAGGTAGGATAATACTGGAATATTTAGCCTAGCATTTGTTGATTGTAAGCGCTTGGTGAGTCACATACAGTGTGATAGCTTTCAGTTGATTTTACCTGGCACTGCTGTTGCATATGGCTCTAAGATTGCTCCCAGAGTGCTTATTTGTACACTGAGGAGGAGGCAGTAAGAGATGAACCTGTGCTTTGGACAGTCTGAAGACATATAATAGAGACAGCATTCAACACAAGGGGCTAGATGTAGTGAGGGAATATGTTTGGGATGTGTTATTCTTCCAAGGGGAAAGAATATGGTTTGATTTTTTGGAAGTTGTCATTGTTGTCTGTACAGTGGAGAAAAGCAGAACTGAATATTTTAATGAGTGAACCATATATATTGCTTCTGTACATTTGCCTCACAGTTGTAGTAGTACAATAATATTGTTTTTACCACCTGTTCCTACTTTAAGTTGCCAAACTATCTTTTTAGAATTTTATAGAAAATAGTGTATTGACCAGAGTACATGTTAACAGATTATGCATTGCACTGGTATAATTGGTACTTGTTAAAGTGCTTGGATTGAATAGAAGAGGAGCAGGTTTTGTAAAAAAAAGAAAAAAGAAAGTGAAAGAAGAGATGAAAGATGCAGGTAGATAAAATAGTTTGCTTTTTATTTGTCAGCTTGGTTTGCTCCATTTCTCTCTCTCTTTCTTGCCCTGGAGGGAGTTCTGCTCATTAGAGCAGTGAGCCCTACAACCCCACAGGGATCAGTGTCATAGCCAGACACACACACACACCTATACACGCACTCTTTAACTCACATAGAGCAGTCTCTAGTGTCAGGTACCCACACACATGCATACCCTTATCATGTAGCGTGCGCACACACAGACATGCACTCTTTCATCTTGCTGCTATTTTCACATCTCATGCCTGGAGGGGAGCAGCATAAAGATGCACCCCTCTCACCTCTTCAGAACCCCCTCCAACTCCCTGTGTTACCTCTGCTTGAGGTTGGCTCCCCCACTCATCCTGTCTCTCACTTCTCTGTTAAGCTGACAGGTGATATAATGATAGACATGCTGCAGACCTGATGATACTAGTGTACTCTAATGCCTAGCCAAACCTCTGGGGATTTCTGTCATACTCCCTGGGTTTTTCTTGGGCAAGTGTGGGAATAGTTAAAATTCAGATTGTGTTAGAAGTGTGCCATATGAAAATGCAGAAAGTAAAATAAGAATCAAAGTTTTAACTCGTCAACAACACTTATGGTTATTTTGTCCCTCTCAGACAAAAACAGGCTTGTATTTTGAAATATTCTAGAAACTAAGCTTTAATACATTAGGCAGTCTAAACTATAAGTTATCACCTTTTGCCTGGAAAAGCTAATAACTAGAAGATTATGGGAAGGCTTTTGGAGAAAATCTGCACACACAAATGAGATTAACAATAATGTCTTTCTATATGTTTTTAACATACTGGGAAATGTTTTTTGTTTTTTTCCCTGCCTTCTTGCTGTTATTCATTTAGCCACCACTTGATGGCAGTCCTGAAATTGTAATGCCTACTCTTGAAAAATTGTCTGCAGCCACCAGTGTATATTGATCTGTAGGCATAATGAACAATACATGTTAAGAATTTCATACACACAGTGAAAAATTATTCTGCCTGCTCCATATCTCTCTGTTATCTCTTAACAGGTATGCCATCCCTCCGGAGCATGGGAAGAGGCTGGAGCGTCTGGCTACAGGTAAAAGAATAATTTATAATCTCTTTGAATTCTCACACATAAATGGAGACTGGAGGACATAGTTAAATAATTATTATATGGCAGTTGCAGCATACAGAAGAAGGTCTGCATTGAACAACAAAATGCAGCACAGTAACTGAACCCAACAGTGGAAGGGCAGTAGAGGTAGCAGCGTGCTAATGAGCACCGACTACGAACATGCAGAAACTGCTGCTAGTTGAGGTGTAAACTGTAAAAAAGAGAATTTATTGACAAATCACTTCGGGGAAATCTATACTGTTAGAGATGAGTAGACTTAGAAAAATCTGTAATGCATACAGTTAAATTTACAACTAAACTGTCTAATGTTTCAGGTAAGCAAAATTCATGGTTATGTAGTTAAGGCCATGTAAAGTTAACATTAATGCAATTATTAGGTCTAAGCTTGCATTGTTGATTACTTTACTGGATAAGTGAAAAACACATTATCACAAATATTTGAGCAGAATAACATGTGCCTATTTGTAGTTACCAGGCAGCCATTCAGTTAAATGTTAATGGTGAGGAAATCATTTCTGATAAAACTTGATGAAAAAAAATTGAAAACTGACAGAAAATTGTTGAATATTGGTGAAAGATAAGTCATTTATCAGGAAAAAGCACTTAACCTACATGTTCTCAAGTGAATTTGCTGTTTTTCTTTGCTTCATGCTCTATTGTAAGTTGAATACCACTGGGGTTGTTTTTGTCTTGCCAGGCACATTCAAGATTTGTTTTCCAACTTGGGGTGCACAGTTGTCATTATGATCAAATGAATTGATTTCATTTAATTATTAAAATTGTTAGATCAGTATTGTTGTTAAAAGAATCATTACTTTCTTCTGCAAGGTTGAAAATGGTACAATGTTAAAGTAAAATCACCATTTAAATTCAATTTTCTGGTTAGGCTTTTTTTTTTTTTTTTTTTTTTAATTTCATCCCTGTTTTTTTTCCTCCTTTGCTTTGCTAATGGTGTGTATGTTTCTGCCAGGTTTCTTTCCAAATAGCTTCAAGGGGTGTGAGGCCTTTCTTCGTCACAAAATGACTCTAATCTCCCCTTCCGTACTGAAGAAGTATGGCATTCCCTTTGATAAGGTAAGCTGTCTTAGTCTTCTTGCTGTTTAAACTCCCTTTTTTTTTTAACCAACTTTGTGAAAACAGCTCTTTCTGCTGTTACAATGAGCAGTTATTGTTTTGATTACAATGGCTTATTTTTATTTTATTTTTTTATTTGCAGATTTTTGAAAACCAAAAGGAAAGTTTAGTGTTTTCTCACCCATTTCTTCTAATGTACCAATCTCTTTTCCTAACATGAAATGTCAGATTACTCAGGAAGCAGGAGAGTTCATGATCACCTTCCCTTATGGCTACCATGCTGGCTTCAACCATGGCTTCAACTGTGCAGAGTCCACCAACTTTGCCACCCTGCGCTGGATAGACTATGGCAAAGTGGCCACACAGGTGACATCCAGCTTTTTTTTAGTTTGATAAGAAATTTTCTTAAATGTATTCTACTACATGTCTTTAAGTGTCTCAGATTTCAATACACTTATTTTCAGTTCACTTTTCAACTTTATGCAGTATCAGACGGAACAGAATATATTGTGTGAAGTTTATTTGTTTTTCTAAAGAAGATATAATATTTGTCCTCCTAGTGCACATGTAGCAAGGACATGGTAAAGATATCCATGGAACCCTTTGTGAAGCGTTTTCAGCCTGACCGGTATGCTAACTGGATGCTGGGCAAAGATTCTGCACCTATAGACCACACACTTGCCACACCCAGTACAACACCGGAGCTGCAGAGCTGGCTGCAGAGACGCCGCAAGGCCAAACCTACTAATAAAGGGTATTGGATTCATAATCTTGACAGTGTTCAGCTTTCTGTGCCATACAGTTTTAGAGAGTGGTCTAATGCAGCTAAATGTACTGAGTGATGGAAATTGTATTTTTATATAAATTTATAATATGATGGTCAACACAGTCTTCATTGATCTTAGTAAAGGCAGGCAAATAACATTTTCTGTGCAACACTTGGACGTGCATTGACAAATGACCTTATGTATCTAGCCAGCAATATTTGGCACCTGTAAAAGCCAAATACCTTTGTTTTGCTATTCACAAAATTCCACTTTTGCTTTCATTGTTTTGTAGCATTAATCAGAGTTGAAGTGTCAATATTCTTTGATTTCTGTCTCCCTTCCTACAGCAATAGCCACACTCGTATGCGCTCCAAGCGCCTCAGAACCACAGAGCAGCCTGTTGGCCTGGACAGCAGCTCTGCTATAAGCAGCAGCAGCAGCAAGAAGAAAGTCCTGGGTGGTCCACCTGGGCCCAAGGTGCGAAAGTCTGTAGCAGCGCCAACCAGTAGGGAGAAAGAGACAAAGAAGGAAGCTGATTCAAAGCACAACCAGAATCAGAACCCTGTTCAGCTTTCTGGTAAGAGACTGACTGATGTTATATGTTTATTATTGAGGTCATAATTAAAGGTCGTATTGTACTGGATTACATAATATTTAGAGGTGTTCCTAATATTCTGACCCTCTCATGTATGTAGCTGGGGAGGACAAAAATATAGACACCTCTAAATATGTTGTCCAGTACACCACCACCTTTAACTATGACCTCAATAATAATCGTATAACTGAATGTATACTTCTGTGACAATTTTGCCAAAAACTTAACAGTTTTCAGCTTCATAAACACAAATGTTAAGGTGCAAGTGTTGCACTGAATTACATACAATTGTACACTAATAAAGTGGCCGGTGATTGTATGTGTGTATATGATTGAGACAATTTCTCTGTGCCTATTTTCTTACAGTTTAGAAATTTCTCTTAACTGAGGCCCCCCAAAATGTTTATAGTCTTTATTTGTTGGTTGATTTCATATTTAATCCATCTGTTTTTCCTTAACAGGTCCTTGCAGACAGATGTGTGTGGTCAAGGTAAATCGTGTGGAGAGTAATAGTTTAGGATTTTCACATAAGGAGCCATCCCATGACTCTCACTGCAGCCCATTTCCCTCCTCTGCTTCACCGGTAAAGAATGACCTAAAGACAGAGACAGTCACTCATATTGACCCTCTTCATCTCTCAGGGTCAGGGGTCACAGGCAGAACTCCGGAAGGACTCAGACAATGGCCTGAGGCTGCCCATGTGCATCCAGAAATGAGTGAGTCAAGATGTCACTGTCCTGAATCACAAGACCTCTTAACTTCTCAGGACTGCTATATCAGGGTCCCTCACCTGGAGGCCAACAGACCTAGCTCATCTTCTCACCCAACAAGTGTTTCAGCTGAGACTGATATGAGCTTGTGTCCCCCTCACTCTGAAGCTCAGACATCTCATTCCTCAAGGAGAGAAGACACTTTAAGCATAGCACCAAACACTGACAGCAGCATGGACACAGGTACTGAGACTTATACTAGTGACACTGCTAAAACCGAGAAAATGGGCACGGTTTTTGATCCAAAACAAATCAATATACACTCCGCTACAGAAGCACTTTATGATCTGAAAACTGAGCCAGTAGAGGAGGGTAGTTATGCATTGTGTGGTTCCTTCCTCCCTTCAGGACACAGTTGCAATTTAGAAAAAAGCACAGAGGAAAATCCTCCTCTGCTACATAGGAACACAGTGGATATGCCACAACTCACCCCTGAGCCAGCAGATAAGGTTGTAATCTGCCCTTTGCCACCTGTACTTACCCAAGAGATGCCCTCCCTCACCCCAGCAGATGATGGGTTAACCGATGCCCCAAAATTTAGATTGTGCAGTCAGGTTGCCCCTGTGCTACAAAGGGAGACACCAACTGGCTGTCTGTCACATGGAGCCAAACAGGAAGAGAGAGAAATTGATTTACTGGCATCAAAAGAGTCTCTAACTGTAGAACAAGCCAACAACTGGCATTTAGATTCTCTATGTAACTGTGAAGGGGCAGTGTCTGTTTTAGAAGGAAATGCAGCTCATTTAACTGCCAGTGCTATGGGCAAAATAACATCTGGTGGTGTCCACCAAATGCTAATCATGCCAGACATTGCTGCAAAAAAGGATGATACAAAGGTAGAAAATCTTACTCCCAGACAGAGCGACACTACCTCTGGCCAGCTAGTTCAGAGTCCTGCACCTCAGACAGAGCAGCAGTCTGTCCCAACAGAGTTAACAAATAAAGATGACTCCAAAGACTCAGCTCAAAGAGACTTCATTCTCAGCAGTACTGGCTGTCTTTTAACTGGTACCTCAAACAATAATCTTCCCGTTCCTCCCTCTCCCTTATGCACTCAGAGTGATAGCCACTCAGCGTTGCAACTCCACCATCACAGTACATATTCACCTTCACACTGTACTTCTCAGAACCAATACATGGAGCCCAAACCATTTTCCAGCAGCATCTGGAAAAACCTAAATTCCCAGAGTCCTGCAGTACTTATCCAGAGTCTACAACCAGAGCTCCCTTCTGACTTCACACATGACCCTCTGCCGTACACTATGTGGACTGAACCTCAGTGCAAAGAGGTCACTGACCTGGATGACCCAGGGCAAGGCCTCCATGAGTCAGAGAACCAGGAAGAAGGTGGACCTCTCACCTGGGCCCAGCTTGAACCCACCTCACTGGTTTCAGATGGCACTGTTGAGCCTCTGGGTCTTTGCGGAGATTATGAGCTCCACAGAGACAA